CAAATAAGGTGCTTGTGTGATGCCACCCTGCAGTTAAAAAGTCAAGCATAGCATAGCATAGCCACTCTAAACCTAAAAATAAACACATGCACATAAGAGTATTGAAAAATATATGATACTTTTTATTTCCTCTCCAGGGAGCGGAGGGGCAAGGACAAAAAGCTGCATTCAGCTACTTGACGAGGTCCCTGCCCCGATTGAAACGGCAGAGAGAGCAGTGATGACAATGTTTCCTAATCACTCATTTACAAACCAAATGAAATAACAAATACAAAACTACACACATACAATAAAATTGGAGCAGTAGTCAACAAAAGACGTGAGATTTTGTTAGTGAGTGTCAGTGAGCGTCATAAACAGGGATATCACGTGGGGCTTGGTGACAACCTCAAGTATGACGTGATATTGAATCAATTTGTTTAGTAAGTAAGCTAGATTGTGCCTTTTTGATTCATGTCCATATGTTGTTTGAGATGTCGGCACAAACCATGGTTCTGCATGTCGTGTATTATGGCATGTGAGATGCTTGTTTAGATTAAAAAATTCAATTATGAAGGTGTTATTTGCGAGTAGGGCAGATCTGTAAAGGCACGTGAGTCTTAGTTTGTATAGGAAAGATATATTTAGGATGTTTAACTGCTGCAAATAATTAGCAGTGCTCTCATTCTATGCGAGATTTGCTATTATTCTAATTGACTTTTTCTGTGCACGAAGGAGGATATGTGTGTTATGTTTATTAGTTGTACCTCATATGGAGATTAGAATATGTTAGGTGAGGAACAAAATGAGCCATTGTATAACATTTTCTTAATATTGCATGGTAGGCTGTATCTATGTTTATTTACCAGCCCATTTTTTACCAGCCATTCGGCTTTGTTCGGCATTCGGCATTATTACCAGCCCTTTTATTTACCAGCCATTCGGCTTTGTACGGATGTGATTAATGGTATGATAGTCCCATGCGAGGTGTTCTGTAAAATGAACACCCAAGGATTTCATTTCACTTACAACTTCTATTTTCTGGTTGTCTAAATGAAGATATGTTGGCCTACAAGTTAATTTGTTTCTGGGTCTATAGAAAATCGCTCTAGTTTTATAAGGGTTTATTTGCAGACAGTTTGCAATGATGTATCTTTGCAAATTTCTAAAAGAGCTATTTGCTTCTGAAGCTATATCAGTCGGGTCAGTACCAGTAAAAAGAAGTCATATCATCGGCATAGGCTATTATTTTTGCTGATGTCATTATGTTGATAATGTCAATGTAAAGCATGAAGAGAAGAGGGCCTAATGTGCTGCCCTGGGTCACACCTGTTGTAATAGTGTCAAGTGGAGATAAAGAAAAGTTTATACAAACAGATTGAGACCGAGGCTGTAAATAAGATTGAATTAATAATGCTGCGCTTCCTCTAATACCATAAGCGTAAAGCTTAAGGTGTAGTATATCATGATTTATGTCGTCAAACACCTTATTAAGGTCAATAAGTATTCCAGGTATGAGTTCTTTCTTCTTAAATGCTTCAACAATTCATTCTTTTTGTGTTAATAGTGTGGTTTCTGTCGACCTGTGTTTACGAAAACCAAATTGTGAGTTAGATAGAATATTATGTTTGTTAACTCTTAAAAGCCCATAATGTTTCTATCAGTGATAGGAACATGAAACTCGCTAGAAATAATGTTTATTGCTGCACAAGCACAAATAATAAAAGGTATGAAAATACTAATTGAAAGCCATTAATTAGGGCATGGGAATATTCTTCCCTCTGGGCCTTCAGTGCCACACATACTCTTGGTGACACTTGGCAAAACAGGGCACCACACAAAGGTGTACTTTGCAAGTTGTGCATGTGATCTTTGATCTTTTGTCATTTTTGGCCGTGGAGCAGTACCTACACCTCTTGTAGGCTGCTTTGCCCTGTGGGTAATGTGGCCCGTTGGACAGGTGCACCTCATCTGGCACGCCAAGGTTTTTGTTGGTACTTGCTTGCTGCAAGACGCGTCGAAAAGCGGTCGTGGCTGACCTTTTCCTTCCATTATAGCCGTTGGCCAACTGGCGTGCAAGTATTAGGAGAAAACTCTGGTGGTTCGCCTCCCCCTCTGACAGCTGGTAAAGGATGAAGTTATTCACAAGAGCACAGTCCAGAAGAAAGTAGAAGATTCGCATCCACCATTTTCTTGACTTACGAGTAACGGTGTGATACTCTCGCAGCTGATCAAAGCGGTCTACTCCCCGCATGTGCTTCGTGTACTCAGGCGTGGAACGGCTGCGCCATTTGCGCCATTTTGCGCCAGACGCATGTGTCTGCGCCATCCTGCGCCATGTTGCAGAAACTGCGCCACAGCCAATACCTCGCGCCATTATGCGCCAAATCGCAAAACGTGCGCCAAAAAACTCTTTATTTCGTCTTAGTTTCGGTTTCTATCGACTCGATTGGCAATAATGAGGGCGATTAGCCTGGTCGGCCTTGTAATCCTTTGTTGTGTTTATTCCCCCTGTCTATCCCGAGTCGGAAGCGCGCGAAAAAAACTCGGATTCTAAGCGCTACACGACCTGCGACTGGATTGTTATTCTTCAACCATAAGCGGTAGGGCAAGTCGGCCGAGGTGAGGTCGAGTCGTTAAGCACCAGATTGCATGAGGCTCTGCGGCTCGGGATCCGGACGCCATCCAGTCGAAAGCAAATGAGCAAAAGATTCCTTTTAGTACTTCATCCTTAGGAGTTGGAACCGCATTCTCGTAAGATAAATCGTGATTCGATAGAACTGAAACGCGGTCCGATCCGAAACCTCTCCGGCCAGCAGCTCTTACCTTGCCGGCCAGCAGCTCTACTTATCTGCTCGGCGTACTTTAACCTTGCTCCTGCTTATCGCTTCAAATACGATAACTTCGTTAATCGTAGCCTGCTGCTTCGATATCGAGTTGCACAATGGGATAAACTCGAAATTTGTTGCTCTGCTCCTCCGTGCAACTGCATGTCCGTTGTTTACGCTCGTCACGTGGTTCGCACATATAATTACTATGTCAATCACGTGCGGGTTGTGCGATAAGTAGTGCTGGTTTGCATTTTGAGCAGCCGAAAGCCACTAAGAAAATATTAAGGACGCTATCTTCAGAAACATCAGGTACTAGCTTTTTGATTCTCATTAAGGCTCACAAAGTTTCAAGTTTTCGCATCTATTACACTGTTATCCCATCTGCCTGGGTCCCTAACCACTGATGTTCATCTCTGCTCCTCAGCAAAATTGAAATTGTTCCCGTGCTTATCTAAGACACAAGCTGAAGTGCAATGCAAACTGATCTGAGCTGCTCCTAGCCTTCTCCAGAATGTAGTTTTAGCTGCTCCCAACATGCTCTAAAACGGCTGTTTCAGCTGCTCCCGTGGCTGCTCCCAAGTACATTTCATGAGTTCCACCCCCGTGTACTGCACAATTGCTAGTGGACACTTGATGCTTCTCTTTGACGCGTCCTTATTTTTCTTTTCCACTGTTACCGTCTCTGAAGGATCGTGGTCTGTTGTTACTACGTTGGCTAGCCGCTTGTCTTGCCACTGGATCGCAGCAACATTTCCCTTCACCTTGTAGTTGTGGTCGCCTTCATTGATTTTCTTTTTGTTCTTCACAACATCAGGAAGACCTTTTCTTTGTGCACGGACAGTTCCCACGGCATATATCCCGTCGTCAAACAGGTTTTGCATGAGTTCGGGTGAACTAAAAAAGTTGTCGAACACTACCAGACACTCCGTCCCGACAAGTTCCTCAGTGAATTTCTGGATTACCCTGTAGCCGAGCCCACCGCCATCGCCCTCTTTGCCCGTGTAGACTTCGAACTGGTTAATAGAGCCAGTTGTAGCATCAGCAAGCACCCATACTTTGAACCCACATTTGATAGGCTTCATGGGCATGTACTGTTTGAATGACTTCCTTCCTTTGAACAGAATCATACTCTCATCAATTGAGTGGTATGCAGATGGCTGGTAGCTAGCTCTGAATGTTTCGGAGAGCTCTGTGATAAGAGGTCGAAGTTTGTGCAAAGGGACATGGCCCACGTCTCCTTTTCTAGTCGCTGTCTTGTTGTCGTTGACATGCAGTGATCGAAGAAGCTGAAAAAGTCGTGCTCTTGGCATCACTGGGCTAACTGATGCCACTCCGAGGTCGCTGTCCGTGGACCAGTAGTCCCGTCTGTTTTGAAGTTGAAGAATGCCCATTCTGATGAGAATATCTAGGAATCCTTTCATTTCTTCAGCTGCGGTATCCTGCCAAGCTTTCGTTTTGGTTTCTTTGGCGTATATGTTCGTTTGCTCAACGAGTATGGTCAAAGCACCTCCGAACAGGGCATCAAAGATCATTATTGGCGTGTGCGTTGGAGGAAGCTTAGGAGTTGCAGGTGTTTGGCAGCAATAATCGGGAATGTTGCTTCGGTGGGGAAGCGAACGTATTGTCCACTCACTTGCAGTCTCTTCATCATCACTGGCGTCATCACTTGAGTGCACATCATACGCACTCACCTGTGCTGCTCCTTGTGACGCTGTGCTACTCGGCTGGACTACCGAACGGGTTACCGCACCCGACGGAACATCGTCGCCGTCTTCTTCTTCCTCGCTGTCACTTGACTGATTTGGGTCATCAGGCAGGGAGAAAAAGACATCCAGTGCCTCGTCCACTGACAAGAACTTCGACATATGTGGAGAAACAAGCGCAGGTATAATGTTCTGCTAAAGGCCCATAGGGAAATATATTCCCACCACCTATGGTCGGGAAAAACCATTACAGCACCTAATGAACGCAATGAACATGCTTATAAGTGGTTAAAATCGATGCACGAGATGCCGTAGAGACATTAAGGAACACCTTAGGAGCAAAACAAGAAGTCTGAAGATGTGAAAGGCACAATCTCGATAGATTTCCCTTGTTGACACAAAGGCAAAACAGGGACAAATTATCACAGGATGTTTGTTTTGAATATTTCAACTCCTAGGGAACAGTCACTTTACTTCGACACACCTGGTTACATTACATCAATCGCGCTCAAGAAGGTTTGACAGATCACAGACATAGCATGCTGAGGGCTTCCTGAAAGTGAGAAAAAGGCATGGTGCCTTCAGCTGCTGTGGTTTAACAGCCTGCAAGTTCACGTGAGAAAGAAAACAAAGCCTGATGTGCTGCGGGAAAGCACCTGCACAAGTGATGACAACTTCCCTGCACAGAAGTGTTACCTCACCTTTCAAAGGCAACACTCTCAAAATGGTGAAATCGCACATATCCTTTATTTGAATGACCTAGGAGTCTGTCTTTTTACTCCTGGCATAGTTTCGGCTGTGACAAATCTGCCCTTTCCATGCGAAGTGCTTGTACTCTGTAGCCTGATCAAAGGCGGCCCCAAATCCAGCGGAAAGACAACTCTGTTCCTCTTTGCTCAAGGATGCCTTCGAAGAGGAACCGAGCAGGCACACTTCGTTTGCATACTTGAAGTTTTGGTGTTTAGTGTATCCCAGAATATCACAGCACATCACTTTGACGCTGTCACTTAGAAGCGAGGACACCAAAGTTTGATCCCAACTGCTGATACTTCACTACCCTTTCCGGAAGAGCATTTGATCCTTTCACCAGCTTCACAAGCTGCCCGTTACCGCTTTCAAATTCAAAAGCAGAATGGCCCCAGTTGCTGCACTGCTTCCGCTAGGTGGAGTAACTGGTGCAGGCTGAACGTCATTGCTGGAGCTCCATACAGCCTCCCTGTCATGCCCACAAAGGTCCAGAGGAGTTTCTCTGAAAGCACAATATGACATTATTAAAGCTGGCCCGAAGCAGGACACAAAGAAACCGAAGGGGGAGAACTCGCGTGCAACATCAATGGATGCTGGAGTTACGGTGTCCCTCAAAAGTGCATGGACGGCCTCCACCAGCTTCTTTATGTACGGCCAGTATTGGTCCAGAAGGACCCTGTACATGCAGGGAAGCGAGTGGTACAGCAGCCAGTGGCGCCATTCGGAAGCCTTCCAGAATAGGCGTGTGCTCAGTGCCCTTGGGAGTCTCGTGGAGCTGTGTGGTGGCTTGATTTCAGCCAGCTGGCTGTTGATGACAGCAATAGAGGCAGTGTTTCCTGTAAATAAACAGATCAAATGTTACTAAATAAATGAAAGCATTTGCCAGTCTGTTTTTGAAAACTGGGGCAGAATCTTTGGCAATTTAGTATGAAACAATTGGCTTAGATAAATTATCCCTCTTAAAAAGAGTGCAAATTCTATGTGCCATTACTCCGATAAAACATACGCTTGGTTTTCTAATACAAACGTCTAGCTTTATGGTCGAATCCACCCAATATGTAAGTGAAATCAGTGCATACTGCCTGCTAAAGATGACAGAAAGTGCAGCAACAAAGAAAATAGTTTAGACGAGACATAGCACGAAATGCCTTGCGTGGTTTAGCTCCCCAGTTTTGCCCATGCTCTTTTCCCGGTTTATCTTTCTACGTTACACAATCCAGCTGAATTCTTCGTTTTATTGCTCAGTGCAGTCAGTCTGCAGAAGTCTTACGAGGCTTAGCCTCCACAATTCATTGAGCTCTTTTGCGAACTAATAAGCTAGTTAAAGTACCTAGAAGCCACACTGACAGATGTAATGATCTGGTTCCAACCGGCTTGGTGTCCTGTACTGTACTGTTGTAAAATCTCTAGAATTGCATAGCGAACTGACATAATGCCTCCTCTCCTTTTTCCTTCCTTGTGCTAAAAGTTATTTAAAGATTGTACAACATGTTTCGAAATTGGCACCCTGGATTAGAAAGAATGAAACAGGAGATTCTCCTGATGTTCACTTCCAAAGTCTCTTGTTTAAGCTACCGTGATATACTGGGCATGCACCATTGTCGCATAACTGCCTACCCCATATCACACTTTTGAACCGTTTGAAAAGTAAGCAAAGAACATGCAAAGGACTCCCATTAAACAAAAGGGGCAGAAGTCATTTCCAACGAGAAAGGAAATACCAGTGATGCTGATATACTTTTTAGTAAGCTGGTCTCCTCCACCTCTTCCATGTGACAGGGCTATATAACACTGGACGCAAATGTCACCACATGATGTGAGAAGAGCCTTGAGGAACTGACAGAATGCACTGAAAGAATAAAACACGTAAAGGACAAACACAGACACACACAGTTCTTTCAATGAGCAGCGAACATTTATGAGATGCCCATTACGCTACGACCTTGAACGACAAAGAATTGAAAGAAAACGAAAATATTCCAAATTTAATATAAAACCAATTTGCTCACAAACTTTAAAAATACCAAATTAAAATGATAGCAAAAAAATTATAGGGAAAAACTTAAGGAAATTTCGTGAAAAAGGGGGAAAGGAAGAAAAAAAAGAAAGGAAATTAATGACGAAAATAATCCTGGAAAATGGGAACAAGAGGGACAAAGGACAAACACAAATCTCCAAACACAGCTAGGTTCTTGTCCAGCTCGCTTGTACCTTTACATTAACTGCATTATAATCAGGAAATTAACCCCTGAAAAGGGGGGAAAATAAATAAGAAAAGAAAGGAAAAGACAAAATTAATTGATCACAACAAGCTTTTTACGATAATTTTTACGCTAGAAATTCCAGCTTTTTTGACGACAAAGCCAAAGATGTCCCAGAGACATTGCTCACGGCATATCTGACCTTAAACGCTTCTATTGTTTCGGGCCCACATTTATCTATGTGTGAACTTAGCTAAGTGGTGTTTTCAAAGTGTGGGGTGCAATCGTGGCAGGTACGGGCATGCAGAACTATTGGGTGGAACGAGTCCGATGATGCCTTGGTAACATCTAAATGGTGTTCCCTAAAGCGAGCATTTAGGCATCTTCCGATGGCCGATGTATTCGCCTTCGCAGCTCAATGGACTCGAATCAAGTTCAATTTCAAGTTTTATTCGCCTCAAATACGTTCGTTCAAACGTATTACATGAGGGGGGGTAGAAAAATACAAACAAATGCAATGATATAATGGAAATAAAAGAACTAACTAAGGTTAAAAATTAACAACAAACAAAAACTAAAAACAAACTATACAGAATTCAGAACAAAGTTTACAGAAACCGGGCACAACAGAACTGGGGACTCAGTGCACAATTTATAGGCAACACAAGCAGACATGGCGCTGAAAACATAGTACCAAAGCCAAAAATTTTTTGCGGAATATTTTTTATCATTCTATTCAGTGACTATGTCGTTTGGGAGAGAATTCCCATTTTTAATGGACAGAGCAAGAGGAGAGTATTTGTATCTATTAGTGCGACCAAATATAGGTGCAATTTTCAAGGAATTATCATGACGCAAAGAAATGTATGAGACAGACTTACAGTGAGTGAGCATAAATGATTGCATGTTGTAATAAAAGTTATGAAAAAGAGTAAGGCGAGCGACTGTCCGACGTGATTCAAGAGAAGTTAAATTAGAAAGAACCAAGTCTAAGTGGGAGACACTGGTTTTCGTACTGTAGTTTCGATAAATGATTCCAATGGGTCTTTTTTTATTTTTAAGGCCTTTTGCAAGGCGTTTTGTTCGGCCACGCTACCCATGCATTTGCGACCTCGCTGCACCAGGATAGAAAAGTGCGTTCATTTCGCGCGTGTGGGGAAAGGGGAGGGGGTCAAAGTTTTGACTTCCCAGTTGGGGGTGGGTTTAATATGCAAGTGAAAAAAAAAGTAGAAATTTTGGAAGCCGACTTGGGGGGTGCGTTCATTACGCGAGTGCGTTCATTGTGCGAGTAAATACATACCTTACTCAGAACTGTTGCAAAGCATGACCTGATGCACACCTCCGCTCTCTTTATATAAACATTGCCCTCGTACTCCACTGAGGTTGAGTGGAGGTAAACATCCAGGAGATCCAGGAACTGACACGTGCCGTGTTTGTGGATAACGTTGTTCATACTGAAATGTTTTTGGTTGACAAACTTTATTACGAGAACGGGAACGACGCCAGGCACATAGCTGTTTTGTGGTGTAAGGCTAGCTGAGTCGCACGTGTGGGTATCAACGCCGATTTGTGAGAAACTGCGAAGTGGGCACCACCAACCATAGTTTTCTAAATACATAACAGATCCTTTTTTCCCTTTTATTTTGCAAAAAGAAAGTTTATGCGAATTTTAAGAGTTCAGAGTCCACAGATTCGGCGATACCTTGCTGGCTCAACAACTTGATGGCTTGATCGAGTGGTTTCGGGTATGCGGGACTACTGGGCAGGACATTGGTGAGGTTGGTCGTTGAACGTGAGTTGGTAGTAGTCCTCAGGGATCGCGTTGTTGTTTCAAGCGAATGGTCAGATGGGGAATCGATTTCTTCTGTAATGCCCCCCCCCCCTCCCCTCCCCCGTCTTCCGCTCTGATTAGGTATGATCGTGGCTGTTGTCCGACTTGGACCACAATTCCGGGTTCCCATTTGTGGTTTCGACGGAAATAGACTCTCTCGCCTTGACTCAGAGGACGTAGTGGTTTGCTGTGTGCGTCACCATGTCGGTGCTGACACTTTTGACGGAACTGAAGGCGTGCTTGAACCTCCCTGATGTTGTAGTGCTGCTCAAGTTAACGCGGAGCAGCTGGCTTGAGGGTTGTGATCCTGCGGCCCATTAGCAGTTCCAATGGGGACAGGAGCTGATCCATCGGTGTGTCCCTAAGCTCCATAAGAACAAGAGACAGGTCGTTGCCTTCCTTCGGTGCCTTGGTCAAGCTGTTTTCATTCTTTGAACTGACCTCTCTGCAAGTTCATTCGACTGTGGGTAATCAGGAGAACTTGGATTATTTGTCATGTCCAAGCACTTGAGATACCCTTTGAATGCTTCAGAGTTGAATGGCAGGCCGTTGTCACAGACCCCTTCTAGAATGCCGAATCAAGCAAACTCCTTTTTTAGGGTTGCGATCCTTTGATAGCAGAGGTGTCCCCCTTTTGCTCTATCACAATGTACTTGCTAAAGTAGTCCACTACAAGTAGGTAGGTGACACTGTGGAGATGGAAGAAGTCATTGGTGACGATTTGCCATGGTTGTGTTGGAGACCGTCTGTCTCCCAGGGGCTCTCGTTGGTTCGACCGCTGGTGTTGCTGGCAGAGTTGGCCGTTGGAGACCATTCTTCTGCCAGCACCCGTTCTCCGAAACAATGCCGCGGAGCGGGGCGTTTTCTGCATGGGTCTTTGCAGAAAAAAAAGGCACTCTTATGAACTGATGTGCGGGCAAAGCTAACGCATTTCTTTCTCAGAGCGGGGAGGTTCAGTTGAGAGCATATCTCCCTAGCCTCAGACCTTAAAGACCCTGAAGGTCTTTCCTTGAGTAAAGCAGTTCTTTTTTAGAGTGCAGCTTCCACCTTTTCCTCTTAGATGTCCTCGTTCATAACAACGAAAACTACCATCTTTTCTTACTCTAGCAGCTTTAGCTGGGCGTTGCGGAGCTCCTCTACTGTTGAGTATACATATGACTTGCCTGGAGGAGGCAGGTGGGCACAAACGGAATGCACAGCTGTCCCTACGAAGTTCTGACGATCCTTTTCAGGGTTACTTGCTGCTACCTTGTAAACGGATGTCAGTTGGTCTACCCTCGATGCTGGAAGGTCTAGGGCGAACTTGGGCCCGTGAGACAGAAGTCCCACCGTGTCCTGGGAAAGCTGTTTGTCCAAAAGTACAACAGGGGGTTTCAGTTGAAGTCCGAAGCCTTCTGGCAAGACTTGCGTACCTCCCCAGGATTTTTACCCCTGCGGCCTCCAAGAGCCCGACTGCAGAACTCCTGAGGAAGAGGAACGAGGGTCTGTGGCGTAAAACGTATCGAGGAGTGCTGTCGTGGCCGGGGAGAGTCATTCTCATGAGTCGAAGTTCCAGGGATATCTCTATTCTTGAAATCTTCATGATCCTGTAGCTTGACAACCAAGTATGGGAGTGGAATCCCAGCACAAAGTCCACGGAGGCGTGGGCCACGTTTTTTCGCAAGCAAAGCCCCAGGGAGCGTAGACGGAGCCGCAGAAAGTTAATTATTGAGATGTAGCTGACGGCTTTAAAGGAAGTTGCGGGGATTGAACACAGGGTGACGGGCGGACGTACTGAGTCAGGACATGAAGCTCACACAACTTGAATTAAAATTTAGGGAGCTTGTTTATAGAGACTTACAAACACAGAAAGAATAAACCCAAAGAGGTCAGAAACACAGACAAGTACATATCTTTCTTTTTTAAAGTTATTATATGGTTTTCCTCTTATCTTTTATCACGGAGACAGTATAGACCTTTGCAGAAACAGCTCGCTGGCCGCCGCCATTTTGCGACTCGAGTGACCCCTATTAGCCAAAAATTTCTGCCACCCGCCTGAGCTGTGGAAACCCGATCAGCGCGACTCCCCACCTGCATCGTGTGTTCGGAGTTCGCCGGCTTTCCTTCTAAGTGTTTACTCTATTTGCCTGTTCAGGATGCTTGCGTGTTTTTGTAATCTTCCACTGTGAGAACTTGGGAATACCAGGACTTATAGCCTTCTGGACCTTCGCAAGAAACGAGCGAAGAGAACGGGCGAAGAAAGCGAACGTCAAGCAGCCCGCGACGCAGGCCGTTCGATGTTCTTCGAGGATTATTTCCGTTGAGATAATCTCCGAAAAGCCTTCCCGGATATGTTCCCGGTCTTGGCGAGAAGTAGCTGATAGGGTCCGGGGAATGGGAACTAAATAGACACGTTCGTTCATTCGCACTAGTGCTGTGTATAAAAAACATCACTCTTCAAAACGTACCCCAAGACAAGCCGGATTCCGTGCGATCGTCGTGAAGTGACTGTCGTCGACACTGTATTTTGGATATGCTGTGTTATTTGAGACCTTTCTCAAATCATGTCCGGATAACGCGGCACCGTGGGGTACGCGTACAATATATGTTGTTCGATTTATGAGACTCGTTGAATTTCATATAGTGAGGGGGCAATACCCATGCAGTTCGGCTATCCTCTGGTGTGGTCAAATATATTAGGCAGTTAAGGTTGACACGGCTGAGTGTATAGTGCCGTTATAATCGCCACAGAACACAAAAGAAAAAATAAAGTGAGGCGATTTTGCCGCCACCAGCATTCAAAATTGCTCCTACGCAGGCTGCCACAGCCTACTGACG